CACTCGATCCGAAATTGAGCTACCCCACCTGTATTACAACCCTAAAGATCACAAGATAGGAGAACCACTACGACCTATCGTCGCAGGAATTCAATCTCCCACGGCTAAGATCTCTAAATACTTAGATTAAATCCTACGCCCAATCTTTGACACCTGCACATCGTACAGCCTAAGAAATTCACTGGATTTCTGGGATAAACTAGATACATACAAAGTTGTACGAGAAACCAAACTAATCACCTTCGATATTACTGACCTCTACACAATGATTCCGCAAAAAGAGTCGGTAGCAGAGATCACTAATATGTTACGTATGGTTAAGATCAAACCTCATTCAACCACCCTCACCAGGATGAACACATCAGCGTTACAGGTACTTACTCATAACACTTATGTAAACTCGAGACGCCCCTATACTAGGAGCAAACACATACCCCCTCTACCCTAACTCGCCGGTCACTGAAGAAGACTACCGTCGAAAACGTTTTGCCCGGCACACACCCTCATAATTTTTTTTACCCTACCCCTCAACCCCTTTTTCAGCTTTTTTCTAAAAAACTTTTTCATTATCTTCTACACTCGATTTTTTAATAAAACATAAAAACTTAAAATATTGTCCTTTTTCTTTCAAGGCACTCTTACAATCACCACTCCTTAGGCCCACCACTTCTTAACCCTTCCATGAGATAACACTGCACTTGCACCTCTCACAGAAAGGGAACTGTTTGTCACCCAACACACATACTAACCCTCACCCTCACACAACTGACCGTAATACCGTTAGTCAGCGACAAACAGACACCAATATAAACCCTGTTTTTCAATCTTTTAGAATGGAAAACCAAACCGACAACCATACAGAGACCCAACCACCGGAAATAGACTCTACACCGCCGCCATCACCCGCTACCTACCAGACACCTAATCTTGACCTCCCAACCGATCACAACTTTCTCGTCCCACCGACCGATCAACCGCTCGCTATGATAAGTAACACTCCCTCCCAGGAAGACTAAACCAAACGAGCATGACATCACTCTCACCGAACCCACCCCTCTGCTAGCTAACACCCAACACCCAACCTCACCAACACCAGGTTCCACCGCATCCAAAATTATTTTATTCGAGAAACCCCTCACACCTGCCAGAAAAAGACACAGACTTTTCGCAGACTTCCCGGTAGTAACAGCAACTACTACCATGAAGACAGCACCCTCACCGCCCCACCCAAAACCCAACGACCACCAGACATCACATCCAACGCAGAATATCCAAAAATTACCATCTCCTCACCATGTAACCAACCCACAGCACTCCGACTTACCACCCCGCATCAATACACCCACGGCACCCCACACGCCCACCCAAGAATCCAAATCCACAACCACTCCACCAAGACCACTACCCATCATATGGCGCAATCAGATACGGAGCACGAGACGTTCGTGAGCACCCGACCGCGGACGATCAAAACAATATTATTGTCTACGACCCGCCACGTCGACTGACCACCCGTAAACCCACCCGAAGACACACCAGACCACAGCCATACAATACTATAACACCTCTACCCACTAATACCCCCACCAATCGCAATTATGAGGGTGAGGGGGATCAGTTCATGGAAAACAATCAATACATTCCTATGTGAAGTTCGGCAAATTCAAGCTAGTTTTCCAAAGATCTTCTGGAAAACTCGATTAAGAAGAACGGGATATACCTTATTTAGCTGCTGGTCTATATTCCGTTACTGGAAATAGACTAAAATTTTGGCTATGCGCGTAAATAATATTACTGGTATTTTGACGTTCAACACTGTTAATCTCATCATCTTCGTCTCGTTGTCGAAAGAGCACTGAAATTACGTATAGAGGCTAGGCCGAGGACTAAGGTTTTATGACTAAATTTTTTTATTCCTGGGAGTATTTTAAATTCTCCTACATTTCATTTATTAATTTTAACTTACAGAATTTGAGATATTCTGTGGACAAAGGCTTCTGGTCACAAAAACTCTCGGTAATAAAAGAACATCGCAAATAGCTAGTGCTGAATGATAAAAGGTATCCACTTACTTCATTCACGACGTGAAGTGGATTTTAATCAATATTTTATTGTGTATCTTTGAGAATCATGATCCATGCCATGACATTTGAAAAGAATCGAATCTTAATGAATATAAATCATCAGCTGGCACATCATTTTCACACTTGACAATGTGCATGTAGAGAAAGAAAAAGAACATCATTCTTCTCAAGAGCTGCAATAAATCATGAGATCTTGAGAGTAAATCAAGTATTTGGTAAGGTGCCGCTAAGGCAAGATTTTAGTGGATTTTAGATTTCGTTTTTGTATACCTCATTCGATGCAGTTTCTTTCGCTGATCACGAATATGTGGTTCCGACATTTTTTGAAATTTTTCTTCCGGGTGAAAAAGGCCAAAAACTAAATCTTGATCGAGTCCTCGAAAAAAATCGAGATTCCGGAAAAGCTTCATAACTTTTCCCCCTGATGTCGCACTAGTCTGCGTTTTTTTTTTGAATGAGCCAAATGAACAGTCAAAACGTTTTGTTGTCTTTTATCAGCAGATGCGAGTATGAGTTTGAGAATCGGGCTAAAATCAGTAGTACGTGCTGGCTTTTTCTCTCTCTGTAATAAATCTTGATTAAATCTATTAAGTAACGATTAATAATTATAATAACTAAATTTTAACGAAAATATCACCTATCAATCAATTAGAAATTGAAATTTATTTTCTGCCCTTTATATCACCCCTTATTTTTCTTGGAAAAATGGTTACAACCCCTGTCAAAAAACACAAATTTTTTATCCTCAATTCAACCCAAAAATTGATCTGTATCTATACTGATAAGTGATATCGGTCTACACAAATTGCTGTACCACCGAAAAGATCCCATTTTTTATCGGTTTACGCCCGTTTACGAACCGTCTATATTGACCTGGGAGTGAGTAAATATGACATCGAGCTCTAATTTTCATTGTATTATCATCAGCATATGAACCAATTTGTTAAAATCTTCTTTCGATAAAACTACGTTGAATATCATCGTCTGAAGGAAGAATAATATTGCTGTTTCTATTACAAACAAGAGTAGGTATACTGGAAGTAAATTTGTTTAATTGTGGCATATGGATGAGAATTTCATCATTCAAATCAATACCATCGATATAAGTTGAATTAATTCTTTTCATGAAAAGAAATAATATAAGTTCTTCGAGATTTGGCATTCGATGAAATAATGGAACGAGCTCATGATAATAAGATGTTCTTGAAACCGAAGTTAATGAGAAATATTTCAATTTTGAAATTTTTTTCTATAAAGAAAAACATCATTTTTAGTTTGATATAATCAGAAGTATTTTACCGTAGTATCTATATTCGATAATAGAGGTCTAAGTTTTTCTATATCAATAATTAGTGTCGATAAACAATCGAAACGTCCATCAACAACATAAAGGCAATCATCGAGAGTATTGATATCAATTTTCAATGTAGTTAAAGTTGACGATACACAATTCGTTGAAGACAGATTAAAAACTGAATTCATTGAAGAATCTCGAAGGCATTGTACAAAAGTGAAATCGGTTAAACATTTGGCAAATGACAATATCAATGCAAACAAAGTTGGTTCATATCTATCAGATAATTCAAATGTTCTGAAATTGATTTTGATTGATCTCAAGTCGATAAACTATATTTTTCGTTCTTCTTTCTTTTTCTTCTACAAATCAGAAAGTCTTTTTAACGTTCTCATCCGTCGTCATACTTTCTCTATCTGTTGTTCTTTATACTTCCTGTATGAGAAAAGAAAGACAGACATTATAAACTATGCAGCAATCTCTTCTCATATATTAATCTATATCAAGTTTGAGGTACAAAGACAGGGGTGGTTATTGATGAAATGGTCTTGGATCGAGTTAGACTCACAATCGGAGTAAGGATTTTAGAAGAAATTTTTGTTAGAAAAATCGCAAGGGCTGCAGCACATCCTGGGGCGTTTTCGGATCTTATGTGCATGTTTTGAGGGGAATCGGAGATGGAATCGGAGATGAGCTTTTTTACCCTTCACTTATCTTGAACGAAGTTAGATTTATAAGGTAGCTTTTTAGAGGCACTAAATGTGCATCTCGAGATCATGCTTTCTCGTCGATGCATCTTGAATATAATAATTTGAAACTAAATGCATCTAGTTATTTCTGTTTTAGATGTTAACATTTTCGGTATCAGAAACAAAGATAATATTATTCTACGTGTAAGATAAAAGAGGATGGCCAGTACATTTGAATGTTTGCCTAATGAACTATTTGAGTATATTTTTATTTATCTTCATTCAACACATATTGTGCAGTCATTTTTAAATTTGAATCACCGTTTAGATTGTCTTATTCAACCATACATAAATAGAATATCTATCAGTTCTGTCTTCACTGATAGACGATTTATTGTTGAATCATCTTTAAAAGCTATAAAATTAGATGACAGTCTACTAGACCAAATATTTCCAGCAACTGCGGATATATGTTGTATGTATCCTTGTCTTAAATCAATTATTTTAAAAAATGCCTCTTCCGTTAATCCAAAATATATGGAATATTTGAGATTATTTCGAACGGCCTTATTATCATTGAGAATCAGTTATTCGTTAAGGGATGGACTGCTCTGGAATGAAGATTTATCGAAGAAGATTTGTTCAACATTGTTTCATGTAAATAACGGTGATTCGAAAGTTGAGACACTCTCAATTAAACGTTCATACTTACATGTAGAAGAAAGCAGAGACTATCATCCATGTTTATCCATAAAAAATATAAAATTGTGTTTAAAATCATATCATTGTTTATTTATAGTATTTGAATATCTTTCATCACTTGAATCTTGCGACGTTCGAATATTTGAAGATCTAGTCGATGATAATAGCAAAATCGCTTTCACTGTCACAAAAGTGCGGTTAAAAAGATTTGCTATTGCTGTTTCGAAATTTATGCATAATTATCAACATTTAAAGGAATATATCTTAAGAAATTTTTTAACTTCGCTTGAATATTTATCAATGAATTTAGTTACAAAGTTTTTATTGAATGGACACGAATTACACTCTAAAGTAACCAGTAAATTATTAAACTTGAAACAGTTTCAATTTAGATTTAACTGTCATTGTGATTCGTTGAATGAAAAGGATGTTGACATGTTAGTTAGAAGCTTTCAAAGTGACTACTGGTTTCAAAGTAATCCCGATGGTATTATGGTCTATTTTCTATTCGATGCCAAATTTTGTGCATTAGTTTCGTTACCATACGCATTCAAGAACCTCGATCCAGTATTTAATGATACACTTAATTATAGATTAAATACAACAACAAGAAAAGGTAAGTGCAGAAAATTTTTCTATACCTCTTTAGGGATATGTACGCACATGTTGAACGTTCACAACGTGAACTTTTGCGAGCGTTAATGCTTAGAACCTAGAACTGGAATGCGTGATTGATGAATTCTGATTTCTTCTATTGAGAACTATGTTTCTGAGTATTTCACAAGCTCCGAATGATAAACACCTGTTTTTTAAACAACAAAAATCGTTTGAGCAATCTTGTCTAATCTAACGTAGAATATATGAGTTTTTCGAGATGCCGTGCGTCTAAGATAGTTATTGAAGAACAACGAATATGCGTACAGCTGGTATAAATGGAGAGACAACGATAAGTATACATAAATGCTGGTCTAAAATTCGTCAACGGCAATTATCCAGAGAAATGAGAGCTGAAGGTATATTTTAGACCCATGTTAAATTCTCCCTGTAGCTGGTTAGATGCGTATGGAGCTGCTCATTAATTGAGTAAATGAGTTGGACGTCTTTATCGAGTAATTCTATTCTTGCGCTATAAACACAAAACCGTTTTCTGCTTAAGGCAGAATTTTAAGAGGTCCGAAGAAGGACTAAGTTTTTAGTGACCGAGATTAAGTAAGACATTAATTTCTTTTCTTCTTTAGTGCTGAACATTAATAATGGTAGTTTACTGCTGAAAAAAGCTCATCGACTTACGTTACATGAGTATTTACAACCAGTCACATTGAAATTATTTCAATTTATTCGTTACAATTGTCCAAAAGTGAATCAATTGCGCGTTTTAAGCTCCATTCGGCTTAATGATGAGGTTGTGCCGGCGAATATTCAGTTTAAGCTAGTGAAAATATTACATTGATTTCAGTAGTCAAAATTGTAAATATGGTTCACTGAAACGTTTATTCTTGTTATTACCTAATTTACAAATATTGCAAATGGATCATCAATTATTATTGAGAATATTCGATGAGTTACGTCAAGATCAACAAATACGAGATACGATATGTAAACAGCTTACAGAATTAGTTTTAACTTGTTATGATAATCAGAATCAAATGATTAATGAAGAAGATGAAATCAAACTTTTATTTCCGAATTTAAAAATATACGATCTCTGCGACTGAAAGAGTACAACTATTTTTTTCTTTTCATTTGATTTCTTGTATATTACTTAGTTCACGTATCTCGTATTATTACACGACATACTGCTCAAGTGTAGTCCTCCTTAATTAACCAAGTGTTTTGTTCGTTTATTTTCATTTTTAGAGTGAAACATCGGATACAGAAAACTTTCAAATCAACAAAAATTGATTTGCTCCAACCAAGACTTGTTCGATGTTTCACGACTAAAACAAAAATTGAAAAGAAGCTCGAGTAAAGAAATTATATCATGTCTAAGTTACCTCAGAATGTATTCAACTTTTTTCTTTATCATCGCAATCTCTTGCGAAATGTCCTAAACAGAGATAAAAATTTCTAGTTTTTTTCACAAATAAATTTAAAAAGGACTTACCTTGTTTTTGGCACAGTGCACATACAGCTAAAACAAACAGTACGGTAAAAAGATACAAGTATAGATTTGTTCAACATACTTGTTGCCTCCTGTCCTTTGCATTCTGATGTATCATGGCTACCAGCGCATTTATAACTAAAAGTGCATGGAAGGGCTTTTAACACCATCAGTCTTTATACGATCTCATTCTTACTGACCAGAACGGGGAAACTCTAAGAAACTCTTGATTTGTTTTTCTACCATGACCACCTTTACCTAAAGAAGTACAAATTCATTGCTAGAAGTACAACAAAAATAATTTTGTTCTCATTCGTATGAGTGAATTTCATTTTTTAACTTTTAGCTAACCTGTCTTCTACGTAGGCTGGGTATGACTTTCTTAGAAAAGCTTCACGAACTAATATATGTTCTTCAAGCTCTCTCAAAATGTGATAAGGCTAGATAATATAGAGGTGGAGATAGAGCGGATAAGAAAGAAGTCACGTAAGAGAAGAGAGAATCCTCAACACCTCCATTGTGTTTAACGTATTACATAACGGTATAGGGTTTTACCTAAAGTAAATAATGACTCCGTAAATGAGGAGCGATTTTATAGAATTTTAGCACCGAACGAAAGCTTTGAAGTCCAGAAGATTCTTTAGAAGAATTACAACAACGATAGTGTTGAAGAGTCTCATAATTCTCGCTTCTCTTTCCGTACGTGACTTGGTTTCTTATCCTCTCTATTTGTATCTGTATGCTGATTTTGTTCTTATATAACAGAGGAAACATTGGAAGTACCATAAAAAATCTCTGATGTCATTTGTAGTTTTCATTCTTTTTGCTTTAAAAAACTGTTTTGAAACATGGCACTGAATAGAGCACCTATTTCGGAGCATTAAGGGCACTCTTGATCGGCTAAAAACCTATTTTTGAGGGTGTACACTGTAATTTGGAATTCATTTCTAGTTTATAGAAAATCGATCTGGAAAATCGTGGAGCTTTTTCTGATATTTATAAAATGCTCGTAGATTTTCTGACTTTTTAGAAATTCGCGATTTTCTATTTTCTATAAACTGAATTGTCATTTTATTCAGAAAATCGCCATACAATTTCCAAAAATATCAAAATTCGGCGTCGATTTCATAAATACTGGAAATTCGAGTTTGATTATCTAATATTCTAGAACATCGATTTTCTATAAATAATTCCTAAGATTCTTGATATTCGAAATCGATTTTCTTTTGAGAATACATTATTTCTCCATGAATAGAACTATAGAGTTATAGAGCAATCATCGTCACTTTTTTCCAGAACCGTTAAGTTATGCGTCAAGCAAATTTTGTCTTTTTTTTAATTTATAGCATTTTCCAAGTTGACTAAATTGGTACAATAATTTTTCTTTTGTTGTTCCCTACCTTTTGTAATAAATAAGGAAGTAAATAAACAAAGCATCTTTCAAAAGATAAATAATAAACACCAACACTTGAGAACATTCTTAACCTAGAAGTCCGTCAGGTTTACGCAATCCCAGAGAAGCTTTTTCTTTTGCCATTTAATGTTTCAAGTCTCTTCCTGTTTTATTTCAATGAATACATTTTTTTCAACAATACTAGATTGTAGTTTAGCGTTCACATTATCCGGTGAAGGTTCACAATTAAATGAAAATAAAGTATCGGTTGTTTATATGATTGATATTGATACAACAATTACAACAATGCCATTTTATAATGTTAAAGATTTAAGTTACTTTCAAGCGGAAGATGAAATACTATTTAGTATCGATACAATATTTAAAATTATATCAGTTGAAGAACATTATAATAATGATGTACGTGTTTGGTTAATTGAATTAAAATTAATTAATAAAATTGATAATGATGAACTTGATGATTTATACAAATATTTTAAAGATCAATTTAGTGGAGAAACAACATCATACGGTATGTTATCTTTCTTTTTTTGAAGAACTATACTGTTTGACTTCTTGCGTTCAGTGAGGAAAGTGTATAATTTTATTTCCTACGGCGAATTGTTCAAAATCACTTGAAGTATAGCTTTTCAGCTCCAAAACATTGACACTCTGTCTCACTCTCTCTTAGAGAAAAAATAGCCAAAGTAGCCTTACAAGGATGTGTCGTGTCTTTTCTTAAAACAAAGAGTTGGATAATGTTGAACTACAGACAAAGCTGGAAAGAGGGCGGACGGTTATCAATGTTGTATCAATAATTTTTGCCTAAAACTCCTTATGAACGGAATAGGAAGGCAAAGATCATCAGCTAGTGCTCAGGACATTAAAGGTGAGTATGACAACGTCTAACCGTATATTTATAAAGACGTTTTTACTATCTCGGGCAAGAACATATCTTGATGATTTTATACCCAACTTATTCTACGAGTCCGGTACTATGTCATTTTCAGATGCTCTTTCTAACTGATAAATTTCATCAACCAAACAGGCCATAATCATTGTACTTAGTGCTGTAACCAAGAAAGTGAATTTTTCCATCGAAGATGATTCGAAAAAAACTTTCAACAAACGTCTTGAAACCAAGTGAATGTTGGGTTCGACCTTTGTAGTATTAGGCGTGATATCAGTTTTGCTGGAAGTTTCTAGACTGGTATTAATTGACCTCAAATAGCCTGTAAAGTAAATGAAAACGTAGGTTATCGCTCATACTGAATCTTGTGGCAGTTTCTTTCCAGAAAAAAGTAGGTACACCTAGTGAAACTGAGTTTTGAGGAAAATCCACTAATTCAGCTCGAACTATACACAAGTAAAATACTCCAGCCTCCTTCAAAATCTGGTCAAACCGGTTGGAACTTTTTGAGGGTTCCAACTGGTTTGTTTAGGTTTTGAAGGAGACTGGAGTATTTTACTTGTGTATAGTTCGAGCTGAATTAGTGGATTTTCCTCAAAACTCAGTTTCACTAGGTGTACCTACTTTTTTCTGGAAAGAAACATCACTACAGGGTTCAGTATGAGCGATAACCTACGTTTTCATTTACTTTACAGGCTATTTGAGGTCAATTAATACCAGTCTAGAAACTTCCAGCAAAACTGATATCACGCCTAATACTACAGAGATCAAACCTACCGATCAAGATATTATACGTAGTTTACTCTGCAGGAAAGTCAATGAACTTTAAAATGATATATGACACAAATGTACTTGATTATTTACCAGTCTCAAAAATGACAAGAACTAGAAAATATGTCACATTTTCCCCTGGTCGGTTACTACTGATCCATAAAAAAAAATCGGGATCAAAACAAATCGTAAAAATCAATCAGCCATCTTGCAGACAATTTCATGCGCTATCCAAATATATATAAACTGAGATGCAGTCTTACTTTAAAGTAAACAAAACAATTAAAAATTTCATGAAACTGTCTTGCATTAAGTATGTGCTCATATAAAAGTTTGGTCTGTCATTTTTTAACAAATAGCAATGAAGGTATGATTTGGATGTTTTTCACTTCAGGTTTACATCGTCTATCTAGCAGTGGTCGAATGAATCTTATCTACTATTTTGATCTAGAGAAATAATGAAGTTACCAGTTGGGTGGGGTTGCAAGATGATGATGGTGGAAAAAAATTTCTTCAATCTTTTTTTTACTTTTTTCGCTTAGGAATAACAGAGCATAATAGAAATGTGACTTTCCTAATAAGTTCGATCATGAGAAATGAAAAAATTCGAATGGACCGATTCTCGCTCAAATGCAGCCTCGTCCTTTCCATATAAGTTGAGTGTGTTTTTTTTGAGAAATGTCGCCAATGTAATTCGGCACGCAAAGGGTTTTGAACCAAAATATTTTCCATTTATGCACAATGTCAGATGTGTGAAAGCGAATGAAATCGTTTTCCAAAAATCGGTCTTTTTTTTTAACTTTTGCCTTATCTACAGAAGCAGCGAATATATTGATGTCTCGAGAAAAGTGTCTTATATTCACTTGACATTTGTGTATAGGATTGTTGTTTTAGGTATATTGGCCTCTATCTTATATGAAATGGGTGAATCTGAGAAAGCGGAAAAATATAGTCGAATTTTACTTGAACAACTACCACCAGACGATCCCAGTATTAGTGTAATATACAGTAATCTTGGTACGTTATATCCGAAAAAAAATATGTTAACAGATGCATTTAAAATGTTTGATAAAGCGATTGACTTTTATTCATCAACAAATGTAATACACTACTCAAACAAAGAACATTTTTTATCGATAGCATATATGAATATAGCTTCAGCTCATTTAGATAACGGTAACTATACTGAAGCATTAAAAACTTATGAAAAAGTACTTGATATGCAAACAAAAATTTTACCATCAATACATGCTCATTTGGTTAATACATATAATAACATAGCATCTGTTTACAGTGAGATGGGCAATTTTCATCAATCATTAAAATATTATCAACTGGCATCAGATCTTTGCCAACAAGGAGCACTTCCTCATAATCATCCAACTGTTGCAGTTATTTATAACAATCTTGGTTTTATATTCGATAAACTTGGAAATAGATCTAAAGCTATGGAAAATTTTGAAATAGCACTTGAAATTAGAAAAAAATGTTTAGCATCATCAGACCATCGAGCATTCTCGTCTTCATATTACTAATATTGGTACATGCTATTTAGATGATGGTAATTATGCCAAAACAAAAGAATATTTGGATCTAGCATGGGAATTTGACTCTAAATATCTACCAGTTAATCACCCAGAATTTGCTGCAACTTGTAATAATTTTGGTTTATTATATGAACAACAACATGATTATACATTGGCATTTGAATATTATCAAAAATCAGTGGATATTTTGACTAAAACATCATCACTACCTTCTCAACATCCACTTATAGCCGTTGCAAATAAAAATTTGGCGAGAGCTTATAGACATCAAAAGAACTACGAACGTGCAATGGAACAAATTAGCATTGCTCTTGATATTAAACATTCATTAAATCCAATTAATCTTTCAACATTATCCGATACACTCTATGAATTTGGTTGCATAAAACTTGAAATGAATGATTGTGACACTGCACTGAAATCATTTCAACAAGCACTTGACCTAAGCCATAAATGTTATGATTCGAAAAAACATCGAAAAATATCTAAGATTAATAAAGAAATTGGCATTACACTAATAAACTGTGGTCAATTTGAAGAAGCGTTAAAATATTATCAACAAGCATTGCAAATCGAATTAGACGTTTTACCAAAAGATCATTTCGAAATTGGTCGAACGTATAATAATATTGGCGCTGTATTATCAAAATTAAAAAAAAACTCTCAAGCACTCATTAATTGTCAACAAGGTATGGCTATATGTTTGAAAACATTGAATGCCAATGATAAATTAGTTATTGAAATTCAAAATAATATTCAAATTATAGAAGAAGACCTGGTGAGTGTCTGTTAGAAAATCTCTTCTGTACATTTGATTCCTTGACGTTGAGAGAGGCTAGGAAAACAGTTCAATCACGTTCACAACTACAAGAAAACGATTTCACCATGGAAGTGTTGCAGCGTTTTGTACTTTCAAATCTACCATGTATCTATCTCACAGATGAGGAAAAATTTGGGGAAAGTAAAAAATGTTCAAAAGAAGAAAAATCGAACGATAATTAGTAGCCGAGAATGGATCGCGCAGTAAGCAATTCTACTAGCCACATGGACATGTGCCATAAAAAAGAGACAAAAGCCTTTAAATACTATTTTTATAGATTTTCGTATGCATTCTTCGCAATGGTGGGATTCACAAAGTTCAAAAGCACTTTTAGTCGTGTTATTTTTTAGAAATAGGTGCCTCAAAAACCGAAAACACCTAGCCACTACAGACGAATCCAAGGCTCACCCACATCCCCATTTTTCGAATATAGGATATCCACCCCAAACGAAAAATTATGCTCTAAATTTAGATGAATACCAGCGATCAGTCCTGAACAAAGGACCCGGTTATGTCCATCCAAACCCGAAAACAGCATTAAAGCGCCTCCCAGAAGAGATCGAAACAATGAGAGAAAAATTACAGGTAAAATTCAATAAAAATATCAAAGCGCGCAATATCCCAAGACCCGCAATTGACGAATTCGCCAAAAAAGTACACGACGAACTGAGACAAGAAATTATAAAGCAACCAATAGACAAGATGTTCGATGCCACAATCGCCGACTTCTAATGGTTTTTAATAGAAAATTGTTAATGAAAAATTCTTTTTCATTTACAATTTTCTTGTCTGAAAAAATTATCTTTTTGTTTATTGCGTTATATTTCCTAATTTATTGTTTTTCGAACATGCTTAATAATAAGCATGTTCATCGCATCACGTTTTCGTGGTATATACAGTGGCGGCAAAATATATATATACAGCCTAACAATATATTGATGTGCTTTCTATCTAAATCTTACAGGACTATGATCATTGAAGTAGCATTCGATTACTCTTTTTTAAACATTAAATTAACACGAGAAAAACAATAAATTAGGAAATATAACGCAATAAACAAAAAGATAGTTTTTTCAGACAAGAAAATTGTTAATGAAAAAGAATTTTCACTTCATAAAGATTCGACAGAATAAAAATATATAGTTGTTGCGTAGGTAACTTATTCCATACTATATATATTGTATAACTCACCGTATCGACTATGTTTGTTCCAAAAAACAAAATGGCTATAAACAAAACAGAGCATCACACAGAAAACAAGACAAAAGAAAAACTACTTGACTCTTAAGGTTATTCTAATATTGTTGTCATTGATTAACGAAAAACTAAATTTATCAAAAATTGATGAATGATTCAAAAATGGTGCGAAAAACAGCCGATTTTTGATACAACAATTTCGTACATATACTAAAACTTAGTGAATCGATGTTGATAATTAATGATTATGAAGATACATTCTAAACTGATCAGGTTAATGATACACCTACTTTAGACAAGACTTCAACATTTTGGTTAAGTTTCAATGAATTTAATGAAATATTATTTTTAGAGTATTTCTTCCTCAAAAATGTTGTACTGCAATACATATTAACACCATACCTAAAAAACAGAATACTCGATATGCTAAGAAATAACATCACTTTTGTTCACGACCAACATACCATTCTTCACACGTTTTCGAACTTTGCCTAGATTAAATTAACCATAATGAGAAAAGGTCATATTAGAGAAAGATTCTATATCATATAGGTGGAAAAAGGTGTTTATGTATGGTAAACATGTGGTATATTTTCTTTTAGTTTTTGTAAGACAAGAATTTGTCAGTCGACTAAAAATATCAGCGTTCTAAAAAACACTATTATCCATCAAAAGATAGTTAGACACTAAACACTCTATTTATCTGCTTAAAATGATTCTGTGCTTCGGATCCGTAAAACACATTTTCTTCCTTTTGAAAGATTTCTAGAAATTCTTATTCGGAGCTAAAGTAATTTTCTATCGCTTTTTTTATAAAGTAATTTCTATGCTTATCATATTCTATTGTATAGTTTTGAAGAGTATACTTTGCACTATCTATTTGTAAAAGGAAACTTAAATATTTGTATGATAACTTCTGGATGCCGTAGAACTACGCACCTCGATCTTAACTATCGTATGGTGAAAATCGCATGTATGCTCAGCGAAAAGTAAAAACAAAAAATACAGAAGTCATACCTATTGGATCGGTTCAATGTACTTCTGCTGTTCTGTATGGATTCTGGCATATGATATTTCCTTTTCAAGAAACGATAGAATTTAACACTATCAGAAAAATACTAATTGACAAAGCGAATTTGTCTTTCTCTCCTTCTTCTTTCACAATTTTTAACATTCATCCAATATCGTGTTAGAACAACAACGATACCATACTAATAATTATTAATAGAAAATAGTTGAACAATCATTGATTAATACTGCTTGAAACACAGGAAAAAATTTGTTGTTTTATAATTAAGATACCTTGCGTTTCAGAAAATGGTTATCATTGGGAACACTCTTCGGAAAAAACGGATGTCAATTTGATTTCAAGAAAAGGAAAAAAATTTTAAAATACGATACGACACGTGCAGTAGTAGTGTATTATGAAATTAATCTAAATGAAGTTAATTTAATAGTAAAAGTCAAAGAACAGATGTTTTAATAATAATAATATTTTACTTGGTCCATTATGATGAAAAAGTTAAATGAGACAGATTATGTAATGTCAAAAATGTAAGTAAAATAAGAAAGGAAAACACGAAAAAACAAAACTAAAATTTTTTATTTTGTTTTTTCTCGTTTGATTTATCTTATTTTCGATTAAAAAAATCAAATCGGTTACATAGCAGTTAAGAGAAGAAAAACTATTTGAAACTTCATTTTAAAAATCTAACAACCACATTGTTATTAAATCTAATTTTTCGTACACTTGATGCCACTACACTTATTAAACGTTTTCCTTGAAAATTCAGTTTCCTTTACATACTGCACACACTTTTATTGATTAAAGTTCTCATGAGTGTATTGTTTGTTAAATATGGTTTTAGGACATTCACACTATTACCGAATGAATTGTAACATATTCTATCGTGTTCATCCATTAAAAACCATTATAAAGAATATCTTAAAGTTATCGTCATCAAGTAAAATTAGTTCCAGTAAACGATGTTTAAGTATTTTCCACTTGAATACTGATGATATAAAATGACATAGACAATCAAAAAATTTTCCAATTAAGAACGGTTATGTACCTATGGATGTTTAGATATTAACCCGCAAGATCTTATATTTGGTTGTTTATTGTTTTCCAAATATCCTTACCTGTTCACAAATTGCAAATAACGCGAAAAACATAATTACAGTTATTTATCAGAACATTTTTCCACAGTTTGACTAGTCACTCTTTTCGGTCCATATATTTTTCAAATATCTTCATGTTGTTTTCTAGTGCAAAATGGAACGATGTTTTTTAGTAACTATCTTCTTGATGCACTTAGTCCAGCAGAAAAAAATGCACGAAAGAGTTAACCTAAGTTAGTAGACATGCACCAGTTATGTAACTGGTAGTAGGGCGGACATCCAAGAAAGCTGTTATAACGCACTCACAAGAAATCGTCCGGGCTTGTTGAACGTCTTCTTTTGTACAAAAACGTTTGATCTGAGTATTTGTTGTGTAGTTAATTGTGACGAAAATATGAGAATTTTAAAATGTTATAGCTATACGTCCTAACAAATCATCAGTTCGTGTCTCCCAGTAATTTATTAAAAAGTTTCTATCTTTGTTTCCGTGTGAATATACTCATATGGGCCTCCTTTATTCAGAAGCATTATGTTTCTCATATGTCGAATGAATCTGAGATTTTAGTTCGACTGGCACCCGTTCTACTTCGAACTAGTACTGATAAGAATTAGTCCGTATTCCACCCCATCCTGATGGAAACGAGTGCTTATTCTCTCCGAACAGTGAAAGTTATGCATCGTTACTCAATAAATACGATGCTGATGGAAACACATCGTAGTCTGCTTGACTCAATGATAGATCAAGAAAATAATTGCATTTAATGCATTAAGATTAGTACAAAATGGCTGTTGAAAATCAGTAGACCTCGAAAATAATTCTGATAGAGAAAGCGTTGTTGAACCAACGTCACTCAACCCAAGCAAATAAAAAGTATCGAGTATTGGACAATCCAAGCTAGTTAACTCAATAAAGTAGTGGATATATCTAAATAATCCAATATCTTACCTGATTCTGGATATTAGATTTACCACATATCCAAATAAGAAATCTTGTGAAGTATTTAGATATTTTGTTGTGGTATAGGGCAATCCTACTATGAAATATCTAGGTACAGGAGTCATTTTTATTGGGTTATCTAGGTATACTGAGCATGGTATTGCCCAATACCGCAATAAAATATCTGAATATTTTCATATACGATTTTTGCTTGGGAACTGAAGACGGATACTCAATTTTAATATGGAGTGACTGAGTGTATGTTTGTAACACGTATTCGTCATGTGATACTGGCGGTCATGATATCTAAATTGCTACCTCACAGTTTTATGAGATGATATAGATATATTATTATGATATAGCGTTCAACATGAGAGTCGAGATAGATCTGTTTAAATGAGTAATGAAGTGAGAAAATTCCTATAACTTCTGGTAGGTGTGAATATGGAGCTCGCTTTTTATCATCGTGATCATCGTCAAACAACTAATAGTTAAATTATTATCAGTGCTTTTTATGCGTTTTCTAACAAAAACTATTGATAGAGCTCGCTAATCGGCTTTTTCGAACATGTTTCGAGCGCATAAACATATAATTAATATTAGGAGTCTAAAACATATTGTATTATTTTCGAATGAGAGAGGGAAGCAATTATCAGAATAGCTTTCTTTTAAAAAACATCGCCAGGACAGCGCTGAAGTACTGTCGATAGTTCTCTTACTACGAGAAATATTAAACTGCTACCTTAAAGTTTTATGAGATAGAAAAATTTTTCGAACAAAAAATATGGTCACGGTCCATGTGCTAAGAGAGATAAAACATGATTCATGATAAATTAGAGCAACACACTCGTGTTAATTTGCCGTGATTTGAATATACCGAATCATACTCGACAAGAGGAAATGTTTTCTTATCAAGGCGATGAAACTAGTCAAATTTTTTGCAGTAGTTACTCTTATTGTAGGCTAAAATATAATATAAAACAATATTATTCTCTATCTGTAGTATCTTATTAGCATGCGCATTGTCGAATGCAATACTATCACAATAATTCCACTTTTGCTGGTTTATCTGATTTTCTCCAATATACTCTTATATTTCGTTATTTTCACGATGCGAATCGGTAAATGAGATCGTATAATGTAGGACATGCGTAGTAGAGAACTGGCATGATCTGCATTGACTTAGGATAAAATATGCGGTGTCTTTTTAATAGAGCAGCGGCCATTACAGCTTGAGCGGTTTTATTGGGATCTTGGGCGAGAAAGTGTTTGTTTTTATTCACTGACTTTATGGCAGTTTCAGTGCCGATGAAACCTAAGATACTGGTTGTAATGGTGACATTGTTTTTGTCAGCTGAGCGAAATTCACATCGGAGATTTTCAAAGAATGACGTTATTGCACTTTTGCTTGTGCCTAAAACGAAAGCACTTCTTATTCAGTTTGCATGAGAATGATAAATTTGTATGGCAACTCACCGTAAAGATGAACTTTGGGTAGCGGATGGAGAGCTGCTGAACTTGAAATGACAATAATTTGCGATGGTTGATCGACTGTTCCTCCTTTCTCCAAATGGGGTAGAGCGTACATAGCTAAATTATGGTTTTCATTTTTAAAATGCTGTTGGGGGTAAAAAGGTATTTGAAATTCGTACCTGTGTGAAAATATCCAAAAAAGTTCGTATTCATTATACTGTGTGCTGTTTGAATGGGATCTTTAAGTTCATGAAATGGACAATATGCAGATTGTGTATGGTTTAAGACAAGAATATTGATTCCATTATAATGTTTTAAAGTTGTTTCGATGAGATTTTGACATGATTCTTGTTTACCTGCATCAAATTCGACGCATTCTACTTGTTGACAGCCCAACGTCCGACACTGTTGTGCAACCGGTTCCAAATCCTTTAACTGGCGTGATGCTAATATGAGACAGGTACCGTGTTTCGCATATTCATAGGCAAATTGTTCACCGATTCCTCGACTAGCTCCTGTTATAATAACACGTTTACTCTTCAATAGTTCATATGGTACGTGTTCAGCACGAAAATAATTACAATAAATATAATATCCAAGAAAATAAGTAAGGGTAAAAATACATAGGACGATTAAGATACCAATCATATTAACTAAAACAAAAAGTAAGTGAAGTTAAAAGACTTTGTGTTTGAAGTTGAATTAACTAACACTTGAGCGACTGTACATGAGTTTTAAAGTACGAGTGGCTTTGAGTTAAAAGTAAGCGGAGGGTATTTGAGCGTGAGCGAAGTGAAAAATTAGGTAAATAAATATGATGGGCCACGGAACTCAGTTCATCAAGAATCCTTGAACTTTTTAAAAAGATTGTATAACAGAAGAAGCATTTTTCCTTGAATTTTTTAATAGTTCTAGTATTTTTTCGTACAAATCGTGGTAGTCCAACTATTCATCCGTGTTCGTTTTAAGTCTGTAGTTAATCTGACTCCAAATTTCTATAGAACAAGCTCCGTTCCAAAGTTGATTGACGTCGGAGAAGAGATAGAAGGAATGAGGTTCAATGATAATAGTGAGTAAGTTAGATAGATTCAAACTCCTCTGTAGATAATGCGTACAACTGATATTCACACTACTGATCTGATCTTTACTTCAATACTCTCAGGTAAAATGATAAGTAAGGTTAACGCCATGTGACATTCTCTATAAATATTTTGTTTCGTTCGTTCGTGCGGAGGCGAAAATGAGCACGCGGTAAGGTATTTTTCAACGGATCAAGTCGCAAATAAATAAAACACAAAGCGTTTGAGGAAAGATAAAAACACAGATATTTCCGGTTCACTTAGAGAATTCAACAACCTACGTCAGATACGACCGCCTCCAAAGAATCCCGATCGGGTCCGAATAAGGAATTAGCCGGATCCGATTTGATCCAGCCGTTGGAAGATTTGACCTGGGAATGGCATCACACTGATAGCCATGTATGAAAAACAAGGGTACATCAATATTTAACGTATCAGTCGTTAAACCGTCTAAATTAGAGTACTGCAGTAATCTTGTTTTATTTAACTCTTTCGTTCTTTCTAATAGATAAACAAGTTACAAACTAAAAATTAATTTGTCGTTCACAAGGAAACGATATCCTTGAAATCATTGTTAAAAATCTCTAACGACTGCTTGTATTCTCCTTCTCATTAGCCACTGTCAATGATCCACGTTGAATAATTGTATGATGAACATGTTCTATTAATTCATTATTGATATGCTCATTTATCCTTTGTTCAATAAATACAGATATTGTTATTAGATAGTATATTCGATTATTCAACTGTTGAATATTCCAAAGATCAATAATAATCATAATACTCGTATCATGGTGCTATATAAAAATATTTTCATTAAATGTCTATTTATATTTTTTACACGCTTTCGACAAAGTTAAATGCAATATCGTCAAAATTTTCCATCATCATATGTATCTGTTTCGTCACATCTACAACAAATAAAAATACATGCGACTTACAATTTTTAAGAGACAATCTTTTTGCATATTCAACTTACAGAAGAGAGTTTTGCAAGCATTTAGTTTCGAATAAAATAAAGTGACAAGGCGATGAAATTAACATAGGAACTTCTCATAATTTAAAAGCGTTTCTCTATAACATTTTTATTCTTAGAAAGATATCTGCCTCTTATTTTTTGCGTAGAAAAGCCGCACTATTTTCTATAATTCTCTCTTGCATTATCTATGCAAAATATAGTATAATAAACATACTATGATTTTATCTAAAAAAGAACGTTTTTATAGATTTTCAGTAGCGGAAATACATTCTGCATGTTTTTGACGGTCAGTAAAACATATTCTAAGTTCATTGAGATAAAACTTTTGGACGTTCTATTTCTTTGGCACACAAAAAAGAGCTAATCATTTTATTTTTTTGAGAACGATGTTAGGAAAAATAATGTTGACACATGCAACATATGCTCAAATACATAATTCAACAATCCATAACCATATGAACGTAGCTCGAATAGCTGCCAAAAACATTTTGTGCTTTTTTAATTTAAGACGATTCTTTGGGAGTTTCTAAAAAGCTCGCTCAGAACTATCTCCGAGACTCTAAAACTTGTACATGAAAAAATAGACACTTTAAACTATTGCACGATGTATTTATTTTGTGATCGACATCATGATATTTAGACTGCCTGTCTATGTCTGATTAGAAGATATAAGATCCTGGTCTTTCTAACAGTAATTTATGGATGGAAAACATCATACATTTTGAGCATTTAAGGTTTGGGACTGTTAAACATCCTACTCTATACAATGGTTTTAATGCTGTTCCACTTTGGTTCTCAATTAAGGCAATGTTATCAGCAGAATGATGGTTCAAAAATTAAAAATGGCATGCATACAATCAAAAACATTTTGTAGTCCCTTAAACCTCTGATTGCGTTTGCCTAAAAAAAACGATCTTCTCTATCATCATAATGCTTTGTTCTAAGGTGCTAAACTAGGCGATTCAGATGACTTTGTATAGGATGCTTTTAGCGATGTAATAGCAGAGTGGAAGACGTTAAGATCATTAACTGTTAAGATTCTATTATTAGCAATGGTTCGTTTCTCGCCAATATATTATCAGGCTTAACGAGCGACTTAGTTATCCATTTATTATTTGATAATTTTGTTTTGGCTTATTTTGGTATGCCATATCATCTGCACGAGTCGATAGTTTTACAAATAAACTGGTATATTGTCGATAAAAAAAATGTCATTTTTGAACTGTTCCTCTTATATCTTAAGAAATTATAAAGTTTCATAAGTTTACAATGTTTTTATTCATGCTCTAAATCATCTAACAATCTGACTATGTCTTAAAAATATAATGTATAGTTTGAGTGACATCTAGCATTTGTACACACACTAAATTCTACAATTCACAGTTGCACAGTAAGTACCTCCGATCAGGACTTAGGATAAAATATGCAGTGTCTTTTTAATAGTGCAGCAGTCATTACACCGCTTGAGCGGTTTTATTGGGATCTTGAGCGAGAAAGTGTTTGTTTTTATTCACTGACTTTATGGCAGTTTCAGTGCCGATGAAACCTAAGATACTGGTTGTAATGGTGACATTGTTTTTGTCAGCTGAGCGAAATTCACATCGGAGATTTTCAAAGAATGACGTTATTGCACTTTTGCTTGTGCCTAAAACGAAAGCACTTCTTATTCAGTTTGCATGAGAATGATAAATTTGTATGGCAACTCACCGTAAAGATGAACTTTGGCCACAATATCTATTCAATCGCCTGGTTTACACATTATAACTAAAATCACTGTTACCAAAAATGAAATGATGATACACCAAATAAAAAATCGCCATTGCCACCGTGCACAGGGACAACAAAACGAACAACAGCACATAATAAAAATAACTACTGCAATAATTTGACTAGTTTCATCACCTTGATAAGAAAACATTTCCTCTTGTCGAGTATGATTCGGTATATTCAAATCACAGCAAATTAACACGAGTGTGTTGCTCTAATTTATCATGAATCATGTTTTATCTCTCTTAGCACATGGACCGTGACCATATTTTTTGTTCGAAAAATTTTTCTATCTCATAAAACTTTAAGGTAGCAGTTTAATATTTCTCGTAGTAAGAGAACTATCGACAGTACTTCAGCGCTGTCCTGGCGATGTTTTTCAAAAGAAAACTATTCTTCTTCCCTCTCTCATTCGAAAACCCATTCTCACTTCATTACCCATTTAAACAGATCTATCTCGACTCTCAAGTTGAACTCTATATCATGATGTGTAGGATCTGTTCAAGCAACTTGTTTGTTTTTGAGCCAGCAATCGCTGTCGCAATGGGCGCATAATATATTATTTGAAAAGAAAGAGTTATTTAGTTTCGGCTTAGGCCAGTTGGTGATAAAAGAATACGAAAAATATTTAATGCTTTTCAACGAGATAAAACTGCGAAACCATCATGTCAGAACGGAACACCAGGTTACATGATGAAGACATTCCTAGTAGCAGTAAACTAGTTATTCACATATTTGTATTTATTTTTCGATGATTAATTGACGATTTAATTATTCATTTGATTGAATTAAAAAATAACTTTATCAGCAGAAGTTATGTTGACTCTCAGGGCTGGCCCGAAGCGGTTAGGATTGGGAGGGAGCGATAGTTCGAAATCGTATAGAACGTAAGAAAAATTTTCCGCTCCGCTGGAGAAAAATGAAAAATATTTCAGGACTGGGGAAACACCCGCCAAAATCCTACAGATGAAGGACATTATTTTCTCACCAGCAACAAAAAAGCAATTTAGTTCGAATCCAACTGAAAAACTAAAAACGTCGCGAGTTGCTGAACAGTTCAAATACTGAACTTACATTCTAACAGTTTTAGAAGAAAAAATTATTTGTATTGGCCTATAGCCAAAGACCTCAATCACGTAGTTGTGTTTATGGTTGCATGAACGTATTTTTGACAATTGTAAACTGACAAGTTTTCAACTAAAAATATTTGTTCTTTTATAGACCATAGTCTTCGGCCCATCTTCATTTTACTCATTCCACATTTTGAAATTAAAACTCCCAAGATTACTCTGAAATAATATACAATAAATACCCTAGTAAATGTATTTGAGATCAAGTACTTAGTTAGCTACTTGCAAATTTTCTAAAGTACTTGGTTAAGTGCTTGTCAAGCATTTTTAGATTTAATACTTGCCAAGTACTTGGAAGAACTTCGGATACTTGCATATATTCTGCAAGTACTTACCAGGTTATCTGCCAAATACTTGATGAAGTATTTATCTAATACTTATACTTGTTAAATTACTTGGTAAGCGCCTTTTTTACTTGCAAAAAACTCCAGGTACTCTGGTCATTACTTACCCAAGTACTTTTCTAAGTACTTGGTCTCAAGTACATTCACTAAGGTAAGTATCAAGCACTCTAGATATTGAAAGTCATCGCAAGCTATTATTGTCCTTTTATGGAAAAAGACATGCTCTGCTTTGTTAAATTTATCGGTGTTGCACGTCAACGGAATAGATACATGACACACTATAGTCGTTTTAATTTGTAGGAAAGCAAAATGTAGAAAAAAGTCGTCCTTTGAAACGATAAGCAAACCATATTCATTTTGATTACTTATTGATTTGTAAAAATATTCGAGTCTTAGCGTATAGTGTTTTTTACATTTTCACTTACGAGGACTTATGATCGCATTCAATAGAGCAACACGAAAGCAAATGTTCTCGTGAACGTACCTATATGTCTCGCACACATAATTCTATGTGAGATGCTAAAATACTACATGCTAAGACTGTGTTTAGTGTAATAATTGCAGCACATGCTTCAAAACGGAGGACATAATAAAAAAAGCAAAAAAGAACATTCTCCTATGATAAAGAGAGTAGAATAAAAAAAAATGGACGGATTATATAATCTCACAAGTTATTATCTGACACAAATAATTGGTCAGCAAGAACTTTGTCATAGACGGCTATCTTATACGTGAACGATCATTAACAATAAGAATATTGTGTCCCAATCCTACAATTATGTTGGGTTTGATTGAAACTGGATCATTATCTGCACAATAAACGGCATGTTCCAAATCCGTAATTCCGCCAATCATCTTAAAGACAGTGTAGATGGTTGAAGTAAAGTAAAGATTATTAATTTTGCGTACTATACCTGTAACATTGAATAACTGTAGACGATTGCTTCATTCTTTTCATTTCCCGCGCATAAAATGTATTCTTTAGGGAAAAATTTTGCACAATACAGCTAAAAAACATAGACACTTAAATTCCAGATGTCTAGAAGTTCAGATGTTGTTACTAACCATAGATGTTGCATTTTTTTCAAATACATCTTTAATCAACCCACCACTGTGAAAATTCCAAATCTAAACTTTTTTAACGTACTACGCTAAAGAATGAACTATACTAATGAACTAACTATACCTGTAATGTTGATGATTTTCGCCATGAGCCAGTTAAAATGGCCTGACCATCAGCAGTAATATCTAGAGCATCACCGCATACGTATGGTCCAGAAAAATGTTTCTGTGAATGTGTTGTTCGTTCATCCCTGTGAAGCAATAAATAAAACGGGCGCTAATGTAGCAGGAAAAATGAAGAGAAAACGACAAAATTACTACATACCAATATTGAATAGTTTCATCCCATCCTCCTGTTAAGAAAATAGTTTCCATTTGCGGATGTGAACGTATCGCATGTATCCGATTTTTATGCCCATCCATTGTTTCTCTACTTTCGCTGAATAAAAAACAAAATAAGAATTCAAGACACAAAATGAAACAGATGATCTTATCATCCAGCTAAGAATAAATGTAAGATGCGCACAATGCAAAATTAAAGTAAAATGTTTTTCTTAATTTATTATACATCGTTGGATAGAGCTCATCGAGCTGATTAAGAAAATGTATTTTTTATTTTTTCCAAATACTTTTTTCATGTCGAAAACTCGAAAATACTTAAAGGATGTAAAAACTCGAAAAAACCATCAAGTTCAAAAACTCTTTAATATCTCGGCGAAGCCTTCAAACAATTTTTTTCGCATTCAGTGTTAAAAACTGATTAGAAAAATAGTATTTGATCAATTTCGAAGTTAAAAGCCTGTCGAGGTATGGACGTCCCAAACCAGCCGTCTAAAGTGTAGACATGCAATTTTGTAAACCTACCTAATTTTTTGTGTTAATGGTTGAGGCCGTCATTTGCACGTCATTAGCTTTACTGGAAGCTCAGCTTAAAAGTGTGGTTCGCTTTTTTTACAATTTTGTTTTGTTGCTGAGGAAGTTCATTTCTTTTATAAATTAAAGGTGAAAAAGTCGAAATTCTGCCCGTAATTATCAATTGTCTCTATAGAGATAAATATCATATTCAGAATCACGATCAAAAACTTAGTCGATTATTGTACATTTCTATTCTATCTGAATACTTCAATTTTTTTCGAAGTTTCACATCCAAAAATTACCCAGATTTTTACCCCAAAGTGAAAATCAACTGAAAATTTCAAAGTACACATTAATCGACTAAGTTTTTGATCGTGATTCTGAATATGATATTTTTATTGCATAAAAGCCGAGCTCTGATAGAGACAATTGATAATTACGGGCAGAATTTCGACTTTTT